ATGTTACGATTGTTTTTTGGAAGTCCCGAACAGTCTTGGGTTTTCTTGGATTGTCCCTGTCCCATTTTAAATGGGATAACATTAGAATGAGAGGATGAGGACTTATTCCGAATCGTACCATACTGTTAATATGAAACTGGATCGGGATAAGTCAAATTCTGAAATGTCTCCATCTGTGCCCACCCCTACTTGAAACCGGGGCAACTCAAACCCTAAGGGCGTGTTTACTTCACCGTTTATTCTACCGTTAGCTTAATAATACGGCTGAAGTAAACAAAGTGAAGGGAACACTCTCCGTTTAATAACCACTCACGCGGTTTATACGCCTGCTTATTAAAACTTCCCCACCCCCATGTTTTACTTAGCCGGTGCTTTAACAATTTTTATAATGGCTATGTTGCCCTTACTTTACATCGCACAACAGAACTTATTTACATTCATATCCTCCCTCCGTTGCATATAACCTAAGCAGGCAAAGTCTGCTCCAGAATTTTTGCCGACGCCCATCAATCATCTTCCTCCCTCAAATTTTAACCATCGCAGGCATGGCTCTCTTCTATATTCGTTATACATCTTCAATACGCTTTTATAAATCTCCTTTTTTTGGTTCGTTTTTATTTTATAACTTATCAGTTTAGCCAATATTTCTTTACATCTCTGGATTAGGGTTTCTTCCTTGAAAAATATGTTATTGTAAAATTTAAAGCTTCACAGAATTTGAGCATATGTGTAATTCTTTTGTCCGACTTGTCCTTTTCAATCTAGTAATTTGAACCTTGAAGCTCACCCAAATATCCTTTTAATCCCAAATTAAAATATAAAGTTACTTGAGAAGATGGACTGTTGGTTTTGTGGTTGAGCACTGTGCCTCTTTTCATTCCACTTATTTTCAAAAAAAAAAAATAGAAATGATATGGGTGGCTTAACAGATTCCTCTTTGAGAACAAACTATTGGCACATAAAAAATTACAACTTCAGAAATTTAGGGTTTGTATTAGTTATAAGCGGAAGGTTATTCTAGACCTTTTACAATTAACACATACTCTAATCCTATTGAAGTAAACATATATTTGTCTTACTAAGCAAGACATTCAATTGAAGTAAACATATTTTTATTACACACTTCTTATTAAAAATGGCTTGTTAAGAGAATCTTTAATAAGCACTCCTTATTACCCACTGAAGTAAACATGTCCTAAATCTATAAAGGATGATATTCATCCAATATTATTCCAATCATCCTCGAAGACTTCCAAAATTGACCAGCTAGTTATTTGAAAAAATGTGTGATCATAATAGGCTAATATAATTAGGAATCTACCTAATAGATATTTAGGAATCTGCCTAATATCTATTTAGGAATACTTTGTATTTTGGCAACTCTTCTACTATAAATATATCTGTCAGGACTCCTATTGGAGTACCTCTTTCCCATTATTTCACATGGTATCAAGAGCTTAGGTTTTTAGACACATTTTTCTCTCTCTTTTTTTTTAGGTTCCCATGAACCTTATTATAGCCGCCGCCGCCGCCTCGGGGTCGACTGCCGCCACATTTACGGTAGTCTTCGATCCTTTGAAGATGAGCGCGGCTAATATGGCGCAAATCACCTCCTTCGCGTCGCTGAACACGGTGCTTTCTTCCAGCGTGCCGTTGAGTTCGCCGCCTGCTGCTGCCTATGTCCGCGCAGCCCACCTTCTCTGCGTCGCTGACCACGGTGCTTGCTTCAAGCGCGCTGTTGAGTTCGCCGCTTGCTGCTGCAGACATATATTCTCATGGAGATCTTATTGTCAAAGATGTGCCTTCTAATCTTCCGCTCACGAATATATTTACTAAGAGTGTTTTTTTTTTTAGTTTGCAATTTCATTTTTTTTAAAGACAACCTGCGCGTTGTATCTCCCGCACAGTTTGAGGGGGTGTAATAGGCTAATATAATTAGGAATCTACCTAATAGATATTTAGGAATCTGCCTAATATCTATTTAGGAATACTTTGTATTTTGGCAACTCTTCTACTATAAATATATCTGTCAGGACTCCTATTGGAGTACCTCTTTCCCATTATTTCACAGATCATACACTAATGAAAAGAGAACCAAGTTCCATTTTTCATAAATTTTTACTTGATATTGAATCCGGATTTATGATCTTGTGAGTTGTGACACCCTTTCTAGTAGGGAAGGGAAGGGAGCGTGCCCCCATATGAATTCTGAATCTATGATCAATCAATGAAAAAACGGACGTATTTGTATGCGAAGTTTGTATAATTTAGTGGCTGATCAATGTTTTCTAATATGCCACATACGTGTTTAACTCTCTGCCACGTACGTGTTTAATTATGTGGCACGTGTAGTGTTTTGCCGTCACTATCCGCCACGACACAAATGCAAGGGTAGGTCAAGATTACACCAATGCACATGTATCTGGCACAGGTCATCGCCGACCGTACCATCGAAATTCATGGACCGTTTTATTCTCGCTAAAAAAATTGAAGATTTTGACCATGGAAAAGTGGGAAAGTAAGACAAAAAATGAATATTCATATTTTGTGATAAATAAGTAATACGGATTAATAAACTTCTAAAAAATAAATAAAACATACGTAGTACTAATGTATTTTTATCATGGATTCATTTTTCATCTTTGCAATTTTAAATTATTTTTATATTAAAATTTATCTTACCCATTTTATCTTAGCTTATTTTTATTTTATTTTTATCTTTCTTCTCTTTTTAATCGACACTTTTTGATATCATGGATCAAAGACATCACTCAGCGGACTCCAAAATTTTACTCCGTATGACATTTAGGATTAGATGATGTTGTAATTCTATAAGGGTAATAATTTACATATGCAAGCATTTTTTGTTTAAATAAATACGAAGAAAATACGGACTAGCTAATAAATACTCACAAACCATGTAATGAAGTACTTTTAATTTCCAAAATAACTAATTCAATACATGTCTTAATCACAAATCCGATCAGAAATATGTAGTAATTAACATGTCTATCTGCTTATTTCTTATGGTGAATTACATACTCCATCAACCTGCGCGCGGTTAAATTCATACTAGTACTAGCAGTGGAGGACCTAGGGGGTCCTAGGGAGCAGTGCCCCCGCTTCCGACTTCGAAATTTAGTATTACTATTTATGATAAAAACTTGTGCCCCTCCTATCCGAACAAAAAAAACTACTGGTATGATTAGGTATGGAGATATATAGTTTTGTCGAAGAACAAATAACAATTGTAGTGGGAAATTATCACGGAGTTGTGATGGACCTCCTTGAAGTTATACATGTTAACACCATCACTGCACTTTTTTGCCAAATATGAAAGTATGAATAATGTTTGTTCAAAACTAAAGGTCATGACAAAACTTCTAATATGTGGAATGAATTTAATGGATTGAGGATTCTTATCTTAAATAAAAATCATACATGAAAAAATGTATGGTGTTGGACCGACAAACTCTTAGATTTTTCATACTACAATATGAAAAAAGTTCGATATAAAAAATTATATTATTAAATAAAGTTGTATCGAAGGATGAAATAACAATCTTGAACATGCTTCGTTTTTTGACACATCTATTATTGAATCTTATACAAGTATTAACGAATTTTGTGGCACAACATGTAGCGTTGAACATTGATCGTAGTACAAAACTGTAATCCCGATCATGTTATAGTATGAAAAATAAAGAAAATTTTATCCAAAACTAGAAAAGTTGCAAAGATCGATGAGCTAGTCATTTTAATCCCCATTATGTCGTTTTTTAGAAAATCAAAGATGATTGTTTAGAATTGTTCACTTTTTCAAAAAAAAAAAGAATTGTTCAGTTGATTTAGAACTAGACCTATAATTCATCATAAATAAATGTCGGTTGAAATTGTCATCGTCGAATGGTCTGATTTCCAATTAAAAATTAATATTTTGAACGAACTAGATAGAGTTGTCCACTCATACACCCGATCCGACTCAACCCATACATGCGTAGTGGCAGTGCCCCGCTTGACAAAACTTCTGGGTCCGCCACTGCTGTACTAGTATTGATTTTTGAAGTCAAAGATTGTTAAAATTTACCATTTAACTGTTCACAATTGTATTCACAATTGTATTAGTGTGTAACACTAATAATTTTGATTGACTTTATTTAAAGAGAATATTACCCGAAATAGGACTAAAAAGGTTTGAAAATTCCAAAATAGGATTACCATGTTTTTATTCCCAAAATAGGACTAATTACTGCCATGTTTTGGGCTTTGGCAGTACCAGACTTCAAACATGACAATATTTTTTCAAACTTGGCAGTAATTACTCATATTTTGGGAATAAAAAACATGACAGTCCTATTTTGGGAACTGTTTTTGTTCTATTTCGGGAACTTTCCCTTATTTGAATATATACTCCGTATTATTGAAATTAAATATTATCTTATTTTATGAAGATAGTCAACCTTGTTATAAGGGCATACACATCCATAGATTATTTTTTAGATCATTTTGATGATGTGGAGGATTTTTTTGGGGATCATGGATGAGGAGTTGAGATTATTTTATGAGATTATTTCTAAAAATAATCTGGTATCAAATTCTAAAACTGGACTATTTTGAGATTATTTCCAACTTCTAGGCATATACTCATAATTATGGTGATGACTAGCTTTGTAGTTCGTGCATGCTCATGCTCCTATCCAAGGTAAATTAAGATCATGAATGAGGAGAAATTTATTGGTTTAGAGATTATTTAAGATTATCTTATGTGGAGGTGACATAGCAATAATAATCCATGAAAAACTATAAAATCGGATATCATCAATGTGCTCTAAGTATATATTCTTATTTATGTATAGTCAACCTGCACTATGAAGAGTCAATCTTTCATATTTTAGAGAGAAAAAATAGTGATTCTATTTGTAGACTTTGACTATATCTTAATCCTATTTAAATAATTTATCCCTATATTTACGGAAGTATGACATGAAATAGGTAGATACCATTAACGAAGAGCTTGAATTTGTCTGGATTAATAGTTTTGAAATCTTGAATTCGAGTCTTGTGAGAAAGCTCCATTTCCCACGACTTCACTGCATTTTGAACCGTCTCTTCTAATGATCCCTTTGCCCATACCTTTAAAATACATCACACCGCCCATTACAATAAATAAATTAAATCACACAACTTTCACCTCTTAAATTGATAAAATTCCTTGAATAGTCAATGCATTTACTTTACATCTATATCTATCATTTCTGTTGGGAACTCCTGATCGGAACCGCGCTACGGAGGCTTCCGTTTGTAATGATTTTAGGCAGAAGTTTTTCACGAAATGTTGTGAGAATGTTCTTCATAAATTATATATTATGTATTTATGTACACAAAATTTTACCTTAAAATTTAATATATAAATTATATACATAAATAGTTAAAATACACTGCTTTGTTCCATTATACGAGTACAAAATTTCATAAACAAATTCCATCTCAAACGAACGGCGACCTCCGCACGGCGGTTGCGGCTCAACTAGGAGCTCCTAATATGAACTTTTTCCTTTATACATATAGATATATTTAATCATGTATGTACGTACTTGGGTTCTGCCATCTTCAAAGAGCTTGTTAACGTCGTCATAGATGGGAGGGCCGCCATGCCTCCAATGGATGTTTTCGGCTTCTTCTGCAAGGATGGATCTGTATTTGTCACTGCCCTTTATTTCAAGCCTACTTATTGATACATCTGCTGCAGGTGGAGAAGCCATTCTTATTTATGACCGGATGTGATCTGATCGATCGTCCTGCCTAATTAAGCAAGCTAACTAATCTTAAATAATCTGCTCTATCATCGTACTTACATGGAGGTGATGGAGCTAATGGCACAATTTCGTATAATATACTTCGTATAGAATTATGCACCTTCCGTCCTAAAAAAAATACTCCGACTTCGAACCGCTTTCGTGTAAAACTGCTTTGATTTTCCAATAACACCCTTACCCTTAGCCTTTGATCCGAAAAGGGTAGGGTGTAAAAGAAATTATTGGGAAATTAAATAAAGGGCCTTTGAATATTTGATCCAAAAAGAAGAGGGTGTAAAAAAAATTACTAGGAAATTAAGTAAAGGTAAAAGTTTGATTTGATATATCTATGAGCCCGTTTGTTAGCACCAAAATCGGTTGTTTTGCCTGATTCTGCTGAAATTTATGAAGTTCTGGATGAAGTGACTGCATTTGCTGATTCTGTTGATTTAAGGAAAAATTATTGAGATATTACCCGAAATATGACTAAAAAGGTTTGAAAATTTCAAAATAGGACTATCATGTTTTTATTCCCAAAATAAGACTAATTACTGTCATGTTTTAGAAGTACCAGACTTCAAACATGGAATTATTTTCCAAACTTGACAGTAATTACTCCTATTTTGGGAATAAAAAACATGACAGTCCTATTTTGGAATTTTCAAACTGTTTTAGTCCTATTTTGGGAACTTTCCCAAAATTATTTTGAAAATATATTTTATTAATAAAATAAGGAAAAAATTATATGTAAAAATAGCTAAAATGATCATCTACAGTAACTTCAGCCAATGCAGACAGAAAAGTAACTCCAACATTACTTTTTCTGTTTATTACATAATTCAGCGTGTGAAAGCAAAAGATACGTGTTTGGTGAAAAGGTTGTTTGATAAGCCGAAAAACAGTATTGCCAAACGGCTTCTATAATCTATAATTATATATCTAGCTAGCAGGTGAATTTTCTCGCAGGTTTCCCGCTCGAAATTCCGGGTCGAGTATCAAATACGGGTGCAATTATCATTTTAGAGTAAGAGATTGATTCATTTAATGCCCGCTATCGATGGTGCATTAAATGCAATTCTTTGACTTTCACATCAAACTCTTATCCGATGAATTTTTTAGTATTTCGATGTGACAATAAATGCAGTTCACCATAATACAGTAAATCAGTAATAATCAGGAGGTCGAGCTATCCCTTTTTATGCAATTATTATACGTAATATATCAAGCAAATCTTTTTCAATGAGATTTTGATGTACGAATTTTTTACATTGGGCTTTAAAATCAAATACAAGGGTAATATTAGTCTGCGATGTAATGTCAATTATTCAGATTTCATGTCATCAAATCAAAGAACATTGAACATAGCATGTTATTAACTATTGGTAATTAGTCATATATACCCGCAACACTATAAAATTGTAGTATAAACATATCTTCATTTATCACTTAAGCACCACTCGCACACAAACAATAACATTGAATACAACAAGATCGGGATTGGGGTCTCTGATTAAATATGTGGATCACACAATATCTACTTGAACATTGGAAGTGTTGAGCAAGAGAACCTTAGAGATTTCAAAGAATGCCATGGGTGGAAACATACTAGAAGTCATTTTCCATTATGAAGAGGTATATTTTGATCTTAAATATCTTTTCAAAAACAATGCAAATAGAGTTTAATATTTCTTCTTAGTTGTGTACCTGTAAGGTTAAGTGGTTAACTTTCACTAAAATTGACTGAGAGGGCGTGTTCTTGCTACAAGGAGAATCATCAACTACTCATATGTAAAACATGATCTATATTATCAGTTCCTGTTATCCTGTAGTACCAATTTTTTATTGTATATAATCTAATAGTTTGACAAATGCAGATGTCATTGGGCATATTGTGGGATTTGTGGAAAGAATGACACTGAAACACTTGGAATCAATTGCAAGAACAAAGGTATATGAAACTGACTTTGGAGGACCTCGAGTGAGTTTTTATATTATAAGCAATACACGAAGTGAATAGAATTACTAATTGTAACCAACAAACATACTTGAACCAGATACGCCATGTGTGGCAAAGGTATAGGGGTGGCCAACCGGGCCACGGCCCGTCCCAAATTTGAAAATTCTTTGTATTTTTAGTGTAAAAATTTATTTGTAAAAAATTATCTGAAAAATTCGTTGTACTGGCCCAACCCAACCTTCAATTATCCTAGCTACGTCTCCTATGTTTGTCTAAGAACTTTCCTATGTTTGTCTAAGAACTTTCCTATGTTCATGTATTATATAAAAAAATAGGAACATTTAGTTCAAATATTAAAAATTCAGCAATTTATTTTAGAAAAAAAAATTGTCTTTAATAGTCTCTAAACGTGAAAACTAAAACTTAAATATTTAGAGGATGAGGACCATACCTAGGATAGGAAGAAAGAGAAGTGGAAAAGCGAAAGGGCAGATCATATGTAGCTCCTCAGCTTTTATAGGATAATTTCGGATAAAACTAATTAATTATTACAAATCATAATATTTATGAATAATACACATTAGGGCACTTTATTAAGGCCCGATATCCGAAATATTAACATTTTTTAAAACATAATAGTAATTAAAAAATATAATCAATCTTGGTGGATATATTAGACCCGCAATAGAAAACTTAATAACATGTTAAATATATTTAGGCTTGGAGCACATATAATACAAACATTTTTATATATGACCACTCTTTATTTTTAGAACATAACATATGTTGGAATAGGTATGAACCACTACAGTGTTAAATCACTTTTCAGAAACTTTTGTAACACACACACATGATGGATATGCGACTCGGGGTCAGACGGAATCCGGGAAAAATAGAGAGGTTGAAAAGTGCTAAGTAAGACCGAGCGGAAATTTTTGCAGAGTAACAACACATTTGCACTAAAATTTGGATCGGATCCATTTCCACATGTTGAAAGGTGATATACTGATATGTATACTGAAGAGAAAATACTTGACCAACAAAGTAAAAAGATGTTATTCTATTGTGGTGAGGACACATTTCCAATTCAGTTAACAGGAATAAACGTGTTGATCTAATAGTGTGGCGACACATGTAAAGTTGATTGGAGAGATATCTTGGACAACTAGCTGATTGGTACTGTCTGTAACAGAATTGTCCTTTGTGTACCAGAATGCATGTGCACGCCACATGTGTGCTATCTAGAATATTCTGTGTAATAACCGCCAAGGTGACGCATCCCTTGGACAGTTGCTGTGATGGTGACGTTGCGGTAGTCCCATGTGGCAATTAATTGCTGAAATGTCTAAGTCCACAATTAATCAGCAAGACCCTGATCTCAGCAGGTGTGGTCGAGCTCAGGCATAGTGCTATTATTGTGGAGGAAGCGATCCTGGTCTCCTATTTGTCCGGTACTGGTGATTCCTTTTCTCCGTTGACTTTAGTTGACTTTTTGCCCGTGTTTGACGTCAGATCTGGTACCGACCTCGACAAGTGCCAACCTCGGCCTCAGGTTCGATCTTATCTCGATAATTTGGGAGTCAAATGTCGGACCAACCTCGGATGGGTCGAGGTCGGCCACTGCGGAATGGTGACTTGACGTTTGTGGAGACTCCTTTGGTCGTAAATTTTAGTGCCTGTGGTGTATAGGAGTATACTCTATCAAAATATATATATATATATATATATATATATATAATATCTAAAAACTTATAAACACCAATGATGATTAGGGCATTTTAGGAATGATAAAAATGTTGGTGTAACATTATAGAAAAATGCTCTTGTACCATTTGTTTTAGGCATTGCACCATTCACTAAAATCTCTTTATCTACTCCTTACTTCTGTGAAAAACCAAACGGAAGAGTTTCCAAGTTCGTACATGTGCCCTTGGCATTTTACTTCATACTTGATTGAATTTATTTCCATTCAATATTTCCACTTAAATTTTCATTTGTAATAAATTTTTCTCTACATGACCTTATTTGTTATGTAGAGGATAAAAATACAAATTTTATGTAAATTAAACTATTATTATTATGATCATCTTATCAATAATTCTTTGATTATCAATGTTATTGTTATCATTATTATTATTATCGTATTACTATTATCAATATTTTTATGATTATTATTAATATTTATTACTCCCTCCGTCCCGCTAAGATTGTCCCAATTTACCTTTTCGGGAAATCTCACTAAGATTGTCCCATACCAAATTTGGTAAAGTTTGTATGATTCTAAATCATTTTTACTTTATTCTTACTTTATCAATTTAACATCTACCACACAAACACATTTTTCTTAATAACTGTGCCACCTTCTCTTGTCCCAATCTTAGTGGGACGGAGGTAGTATTATTTTTGTTCTCGTTATTTGTATGCTATTAAAAATATAGACATAATTAAGTTGCTATTATTATTTGAAAAAGAGAGATTTGCCATTTTAATCTTGTAACTTTCGGTTGTTATCGTTACTAGTCATATAACTTTAATCACATGCAAATTTGGTCCTGTAACTAACAAGTCTTTTCAATTTAAAGAATTTTCCATCGGAAAGTACATTTTCTGGCAGAAAAATCCGACGCTGGCGACATCTTTTCCGGTATACTATCATCGAGAAGTGTACTTTTCAAGGAAAAAGTCTTTGAATCGCAAATATTAATTAGTTACAGGATCAGATTTACAAGTGACTAAAGTTACGAGACTAATAATGAAAACGGCCGAATGTTACGGGAAGAAAATTGCAAATTTCCCTTCTGAAAAACAATAACATAATTTCAAGAAGCCGATTTCTTGCCTTAATATGTCTTAAATTCCTTTATTGCAGAGTCATAAGTGTCAATTGAAAATGTAATTATGGAAACACGAGTTTAATCTGACACTTCGTATATTGTTATATTCTAGGGGAGGGTTCTAGTGAGAACCCCTCCTAAAATGAGAACATTTTATAATAAGAACTCTTAATCTCTACCTTTGATTTTTTTCAATCATTGGTAGGATACACATGGGATCATTTGTGTAATTATTCCAACTTCAAATGGGGTACTTTTTGTAATTATTATAAATTTATTACAAAATAGACCCCATGTGCATTAAAACCCTTGATTTGATATATCAAAGGTGGAGATTAAGAGTTCTCATTTATAAAT